CTATGAATTTTGGTATTTGATTTGGGGGGTTTTTACCATGGAAAAAATCAGAACTACCCTTGCCCCCTTTGCTCACAGAATGCAGCTCCAGGCCCCTCACTCCCAAGCCACAGCCCACCAAATATACGCTCACAACTCTGACATACATCTGTTTTTAGAACATTTCAATGCACTTTTACTGTATTGTAAAATCACTGCTATATATTACTAAGCAATCATAAATTGCACATTTAAAACATCCTGAAAATTACTTTTACTGATAACATAAGTTTGCACTATGCTGTTAATAGTGTTTGCCTGTCTGGTGAAAAGTGGAGTAAGAGGAGGCTTCAGTAGCAGGGAAATTAAAAAAAAACAACACAGCAGGAATTAACATTTTCCTCTCCCACCCCCCTCCTCCCCTTGAATGTATTCTTATTTTAAAAGCATGTGAAGTGAGGGAAGGAAAGATGCATAAGAAATAAGGGCTTATACAAATAACAGCACTCAGGAGACAGTCATAAACTTGTCAAGATTTTAATATGTATCATAAATATGTTCATCTTCTTCAATCTCCAACTGATAGTGAAGATTCCAAAAAGTCCTGCAATTTCAAATGCTACTGCTCCTGACTCTTGTCAGCCAACTCTCTTGGCCTTTTTGGTTAAGATTAAGTGTAGTCCCCAAGACGCTTCTCAAGAAAGCGGGTGGTGAAATCAAGCAGCTCTTCAAAACGTAAATGAACCTGCCACTACAGACCAGCAACAAGATCCTGCACATCCTCTACTGGCAGGGGAGTGCCAACATACCTCACATGGGAGAACTCTGTGCCTTTCAATAGTCACCCATGCCTTCTACCTCCTGACCTGCCCCAACAACCTGGCAAGCAGCATCACCAACCGCCAAGAGGAGGATCACCAGGCTGCCATCCAACAAGGACCCAATCGTGTTCCTGAACAGACAACTAGAGGGAAAGTTATGGCAACATAGCAAGGACTCTGCCTTACTTTGTAGCCAAGTACATGATGCTACACAGCACCTCATGAAGTGCATCAGGAAATGCTTCTGGACATGGTGCAAGGAGCAGTAGGAGATGTGGCTCCCAGCCCTATCAGCCACCCACATCATCATCACCCCCTTGCATCAGAACCTGCTTGGAGAGGCTCCTGGAGGATGCCATTCAGGTCAACTACACTGACAACCAGAAGGCAAAACCCAGCCAGGACAAAGTCTTCAAGGTCATCTTGAACTGGGACCCCAGAAGCCACTTCATGCACTGTGGGAACCTCATGCACTTTGCAGACTGGCACTTCATCCATTGCACCCATGTAGGTGTGAACTAACAGTTGGGGGACTTGCATGCTTCCTGGGCCTCTCTATGCTATCACCGGAAAGCACCCCATTGACAGCAGACAGGAACACAGAGGCAAAGAACTTGTTAAAGAGTTCTGCCTTCTTTCGCTTGTCTGTCACCAACTGCCCTCCCCTGCCTCGTAGGGGTCCAATGTTACCCCGAGACTTCTTCTTGCTACCTATATACTTGAAGAAGGACTTTTTGTTATCCTTAATCCCAGAAGCTAATCTAAGCTCCAGTGCTGCTTTATCCTCCCTTACCAAATCCCTACAAGCTCGGGTCAGGGAGGTGTACTCCTCCTTTGTCCCTGCCCCCTGCTTCCACCGCCAGTATGCTTTTTTCTTTGCCCTCAGGCCAGCCTGGATATCTGCGCTCAGCCATGAAGGTTTCTTGGACCCTTTTCCCATCTTCCTGCACAGTGGAATTGTGTCCTGCTGTGCCCCAAGGATAGCCTTCCTGAGGAGGGACCACCTTTTCTGGACCCCCATACTAGCTACACCCTGGGCTCCGAGTGCCTCCCTGACTACTACCCTGAGCACTTCGAAGTTGGCTTTCCTAAAGTCAAGCAGTTGCGCTGTGCTGGCTACCCTCCCCACCTTCCTCTGAACAGCAAACTGGATCATTTCATGATCACTGTCCCCTAGCCTCCCTTGTACTAGCACCTCCCCCACCAGGTCGTCCCCAGAGGCTAACACCAGATCCAGTATGGCGTTTCCCCTAGTGGGGACGAGTACCTTCTGCACGAGGTGTAGGTCCTGTACACACGTCAGGAACCTTCGTGAGTGGCTAGACCTGGCCGACTGCTCCTCCCAGTCGGTGTCAGGGTAATTCATATCACCCATGACCACAACATCCTTTCCACGCACGGCCTTCCCAAGTCAGAAGAGACCAACTGAAAACCTCTCTCGTGCCACCAACTGACCAAGGCTTTTAATGCCTTTAACTTTTTTCCCACCCTAGTATTTGTACATTACCTTCTAAACCATTGTCTAAGAATGTTTTACCAGCTCACAACTCTGTACCAAACCGCACCTTTATCCCAGGCTAAGAAACTATGCGACTGACTGCATGTTCTAGATTGCACCAACCAACACCAGCTATGTTCTATATAGCTACTATGTGCTAGGTCCTACCATTGCTTCAATCTCTACACAGCTATGATTTTTAACATACACTAATAAAGTTTTAAATATGTTCTGTAACATACTACAATGTGATAAGTTTATGGATTTTGATGTCTTTTTTTTAGTTTAGAGGACTACTCATTTATCATACAGATGCCTTTTAAGAAAAAAGATAGAGAAACAAATACAGTTAAATAATCAAGAGACTAGGTCCTGTTCCCGAAGCAATCATGCAACAACACTGTGCTTTATTTTTCCTGAAGTAATAATGCTTATCAGTCTGTGAAAAACACCAAGACACGGAGAGAGAGAGAGAGAGAGAGAGAGAAGGGGAAGGAAGGAGTTGTCAGAATCTCTCTTGTGCATTTTATAAAAACTGTTCCATGATAAATTACCACATATCATGACTGTGTATGATTTCTGCTGTAAACAACAGGCTATAATGCTAAAACTGCTGTGTTATCTGGCTGGCATTTTTAAAAACAGCTTCTTAGAGACAGACCCTCCCCCTCCCCTGCAAAAATGCAACAGAATATAGGTGTTTCTCCCCCGAGGCTCCTTAAAAAATCCTAGCCATTATCACTATTATTCTCACCTTTATATTTATCAAATAAGAGCCTAAAATGTCTTGGCAAGGTTAGGGGTAGCATACAGTTATTCACTTGAAGGATGGCAGAAATCAAAGATATGTAACCAGAAGTGTCAATTTTCAGATTTTTTGCATTTATATCAACTCTACAGTGTATGAAAGTGTGATTTACTTTATATTTCAAATGCCTGAAAATGTAATGTGACATTTTATAAAATGGCATTAAATAATAAGCTAATAGTTATAAAGAAGAAATATTAACTATGTAGTCAGCTACTGGCAAATGCTCACCATACTGCAGTTACTGTTTGCTGAAATGCACTTCTTGTCATCACACCATTGGCACCCATTTGTATTGGCAGAACAGCTAGCACAGTCTGCATATTTGTAACATCTATCATCAGCAGCAGCTGTAATACAAACAGGCAACAAAAAGAAACAAAGATGAAGAAGAAAGTTGCCACTTTTTAACAACTACGTGGGATAACAGCTGTCATTTTTCTTCATAAACATGACCTTCAATTTGAAATGAGAAAGTTACTTAATAGGAAATCAACAATATTCAATTAATGTTATTACACACTGTTTAAATTCTTTGAAGCTTCTCAAGCCCTGACTAGGTCAAGAAACACTACTTGATTAGTAAAACAGAGGCCAATTTTAGAACAGTATGCAGATCAAACAAAATGTTACTAGTCTTTTATTCTATTTCTTGTTAATGTATTTAAACATTAGTTAAAAAAACTAAGTTTGAGTTTTCGAAGAAAAGTAGTAGGTTATTATACAAGCAGGCATAGTAAGAAGTGAAAAAAAAAGAATCCAATTTCTAGCAGACAGACAAATAAATACTAATGCTTACTACATTAATTTTATATGATCAGTATTGTTTAGTAAATTGACATGCTTTTGAAGGATCACCCACACAGAAGGGTAGAGGTGAACCTGCCAAATTTAAGTGAGTCTGCTCCTTACATTTGCAATGTACATTTCATTAGATGTTCAATATGAAGTATATCCCACAATATGATTTTATTTATATGCCCTTCCTAGCTAAATTATTATAAATGTTCAATAACATAACCACCTATTAGTCTAAGGCATATTATTCTAATACACATCTCTTTGTGCGTCATTTACTGAAAAAGACTTCTTTTCTTTTTTGTTTTGCAATCAGACAGAATGCTTGGCCACTGACCAATTCTCCTCTGCTTCCAAAGTGAATGATCCAAAAGCAAATATGATCTTTAACTTCTTATCCCATTCCATATGTTAAAAACTCTGCCGTTCAGCAAAAGCTTTTCAAACTATAGGAACTTGAATTTATCTCAAAAGTTTATCCAACTTGCATTTTTAAGAGAGAACAAGACTTATATGGCACTGCCTTTGATCAAAAGCTTGGTGTTTGACTTCCACAGAAAATTCAGAAGAACATTTTAATAGGATACTTGGTATACTGTTTCTTCACAAGACATGAAGAAACTCTGTTGGTTTATTAAAGCATTTAATTTAGATACAAGATCTCTTTATTAATTTCCAAATACGTAAGGCCACATCTCCCCCTTCATCTTTGTGAAACACAAGCACACACTGAATAGCCAAAGGGGAGAACTCCCACAGCATGCCATCCAGGAATGGGAATGAAACCCATGAAGTGCAGAGCTCTCTAGGGGAAAAGAAGAAAATCCAGACAATGCCCACTGAAAGATTAGACGTCAGTGGGACGGGGAAATTGGCCCCAAAGACACACGAGGAGAATATTGTTAATCTGAAGTAAAGAGGCTTACTCTTTCAGAAAGGAAAAAAACCCTTAAGGATCAAGGTCATATTAAATATTTAAGACAAGTTTTCTTCAACACAGACTCACATGCTTAAATGCATCTTCCCTCTGCTGTTAAAAGGCGTCACGGGGTGGGGTCCCTAGAAACAGCCACGATGTCCTGTAATGGCCCTGTAACCGTGCTAGCTGCGCCCTGCAGGCACCTTCTAGTCTCGCCTGCCACATCTAGTTGTTTGAAATAATAAGTTGGGAGGCTGACCATGAGGTTGTGTGGTCACGGTCCTGCTGAACCTCACTAGATCCGGCTGCCTTTGGATCCCTTGCCAGGACTTACTCTAAGTCCATGCCTCTTGAGACACCCTGAGCCTTATGGACCAGACGCATGGCTCCAAAAACACCCCTTTACCATGCACCATGCCTCGTAGGTGGTATTCAACGTTGTCCCTCTGAGGCCTTAGACTAGCTTGGCTTCCTGTCGTCACTGGGCCCTTGGCCCCTGTCTACATGCCTTCCCTGGCACTGGGCTCTGTGCAGACCTGTCTGCGCCCTCTGGTACTGGGCTCTTTGCAGCCCTGTTGCTGCATTCTCTGGTGCTGGGTTCGTCTCACCTCCTGTCACTGCACCCTCTGGTGTTGGAGGTCTGTGTGGTAGTGTGCCCCTAGCGAGGCCTCCTCCTCCCCAGTAGTCTCATCCCGGTCCACCAGATTAAACAACAACAGAAATATGATCCCCTGGGCTATAACCTAACAATAATAATACCAATGACACTGGAGGCCACACTGCACCTTTAAGAGGGCCAGTTTCTCCCTCAGCAATGTGTACCTCCTATCCCCAGGTACTTTAGAAGCTCCTACAGCCCATTAGTCTTACCCACAGCTAGACAGGCAGCCAAGCATCTCTGTGGAGGTTTTATGCATGAACTCCTTCCCCTCTGGCTGCTGTCAGAGAACTGACTGCCTCTAGCCCCAGCCCTGGGGCTTATATGTGCCCAAGGTCCTATCTTCTCCCGGTCAGCTGACTGGGTGCAGTTGCAGGCTAATTCCCACATTAGCTTGCTGCCACAGCAACCTGCACCTGTGGGGTTTCTGCCTGGCTCCTAGGGCCCTCTTGCTAGGCAGTTTCTGCCCTTTAAGGAGCAGGCACATCTTAGTGCCCTGTGAGAAAAGGACAAAAAAGAATGGGAAATATCTTTTACTAGCAGGGAGTTTAGCAAGTGTAGTGTCATTTTCCATCTATCCACACCACCACCTATGCACAATTTCTGTGCAGCATGGACTCCTTAGTTTTGAGGACATGGCTAATTGGTAACGTTTCACAGCTAGAAAAGAGCTGCTCTTTAGAGTATCGCTCTTGTACAAGTCCTCAGGAATTTCTTTTTATAAGATAATTTTGACTGTGTCAACCTTTTCTGATAGGATTTGCATTGTATACTATCAAAGACCCTGTGAAAGCGTGGTTTCTGAGGGTGTCATCCCACGATAAACTGGCAGGACCTGATAGAAATGAAGTGGCATTGGCCATAACAGGAGCTCCTTTAATCTTCACACAATACCTTGCACCGGAGCGGTAATTCAGTTTGACCAAGTTAGATGTCTAGGGTCCCTCAGACTCAGTGGAGATATGTTAAGAGGCAATTAAGATGAATTCAAATGTAAGCACCCAAGCTCTGTGCACAAAGAATGGGGAGAGGTAGCATTCTCCAAATGACAATTCAGAAAACCCAGAGATAACAACAGGAAACACTAAGCACAGGGGCACTTGTCAGGAACATAGCACCTGACACGCATTGCACATCAGGCACTCTGTTCACTTTTTTATATATGACGATAGGCATGATGTTGTGGTAATAGGGATGCCCCTTTCTGCTCAACAGCCTTTCAGTTATAGCACTTGGCCAGAACATGAGACCAGTATTCTAAACCAGCGTTTCTCAACCCATGGGTTGCAACCCAAAAGTGGTTCGCAAGAATACATGAAAGGGTTGCAAGGAAAACTTAAAAACGGACCAAAACACTTCAAAAATAGATTCTCCATTAAATGAGAAAAATGTGGGAAACTGTGGCTTTTCCCCTGAGGGCTGCCAGAGTTCCAGCCTGCAAGGGGCTGCTTGGGCACCCCACCTCCCCGCCCTACACGCTGGGGGACTGGGGGTGGGGAGCAGCAGGTTTGGCGTTAGGGACACAGGGGCGGGACTGGCCATTAATGTTTACAAATGAGTCCTGGTACAAAAAAGGTTGAGAACCACTGCTCTAAAACCCTCAAAACCCTAATGAAACTTAAAATTCCATCTCCCATTTCCCCTAGTCATCCAGCTCTGGATGGGACCACCCTCCCTTCCTACTGTTGAAGGTGGTCTACTGGGCAGTCAAGAGGGCAAGACTTGGGGTCAGAAGGACAGTAAACAGTGAATGTAACTCTGCAGCTCAATAAGAAAATTTCCAGGGGGTGGGGTGGGGGGGATGGAGGAGGGGGCAGTGTCCTGGTTTCTAGCTCTGCTGCCAGGTCTTTGTTTGCATATTATGTTAGACAGTCATTGGTTACAAAACTGAACGAATCTTAGCAGTGCGGATTGGAACCAAAGATTCCTCTACCCAGGACAGTGCCGTAAACAGCAAGCTACAGAGTCAGACTCCTTGCATGCTTTCTTTATAGCTCCATAACAAACGCACTCTTGGATTCCACTTGCCTACCTTCAACAGAATAGAGAATGCCCATCTCAAACCTACTCTAAAAGCTTGTGGTAAGGACACACTTGTCTGGGAAGCAGGCTCAAATCATTGCAGGCTAGAACACAGCACTTCCAGTCCCTGGATGAAAATTCTAGCCACTCTGTTACTGGGCACAAGGTAGCCACTACCAACTTGGAGTGGAATTCAATGCTGCTGGCAATGAAGATGTCCTCCAAGATGCCTTCCAGACACAAACTGAATAAATAACTCCTCTTAAAGCCCATGCAATTGCCATGGAATCAATCTGAAACTTAACTATTTATGATGATTAATCTCTGTAGTTTTTGCCACTCTTAAATGTTCATATTTTTTAATAAAGAAGAGAAGTCTCTATATCCCTTCTGAAATGTTTTCCACTAAAATATGAAAAATACAAGAGAAGTTCTTCAGAACAGTTTTACATAGTCAACATTTTTGCACGTAACCCAACATTTTTTTTCCAGCAGTCATTATATCATACCCTATTTGCAACTTCATATTCCATTGGGAGACAATTCAGGAGAAAATTGATTGAATGGCAAAGTAGGTCACAATATATTTTAAAGGCATAGCTAATTTGCAAGAAGTGTGATGGTTAAACAAACATTTAAAGTAGTTCAGCAGTTTAATACTATGTAGTTTATAGACATGCTTTACAAAAATATTGAGTGAACTGTTTTGTACTGTTCTGCACCGGAAGATGTACAGAATGAGTATCATACTGGATATCTAGTGTTGTGCTGCATATCTGTGTTCACGTTAACTACAAGAAAAAGCAGTCTTAGAAACAGCTTAACTTGTGACAAGTTGAGCTAATCAGAAGTTATGTGCAATATAATTTATAACAACTTACTATTTGAATCAATATGGTTATCATGGTGTGAAAGAGATATTCACCAGATAAAAACTATAGCTCACATTTTGA